CTCACCAATGCAATTAAATAATGAAAATGTGCACGGCATCACCCTTCGTGCTTTATCTCTCTTTCTCCCCATATAAATATTAAAAATGTGCACAGCATCACCCTTCGTGCTTTATCTCTCTTCCTCACCATATGCATAAATATCAATGTAAATGTACACGGCATCACCCTTCGTGCTTTATCACTCTTTCCTCACCATATGCATAGGTATGAATATGCACGACATAACCCTTCGTACTTTTACTCTCAATCCTTACCAATACAATATCAACAATAAGAACAAATACATCACGGAGAGGGAATCATCAATAAGAAATAAATACGTCCCAGCAAGGGAATCAACTATAACCAAACTTGTACCAATAATTAACATCACAAATGAACCTCCACTGGAGCTAATGCTCAACAATAAACAAATACCAAGAAGATAATCATAAGTCTTGCTCAACATGGATAATCAACAATTTAGGCATTTGTAGTACTTATCAAAAAACACAACAATCACAATTTAAGACTCACGGGCATGCTTGACACCAACGTATAGATACTCGTCACTACACCTATATGTCGTACACTATAGTAGGACATACCAAATAAGACACAATACCTATTCCCCCAAGCTAAGGATAGACAAAACACTTACCTCAAACTTCCACGGCCAAACTTAAGCCTCAAACACCGCTTTCCCTTTAGAATTTGCCTCCAATTTACTTTTATCTAACCCAAATTAGTTTAACAACATCAATAAATGCTAAAGAATTCATACCTAATGCTTAATTATAGGTTTTCTATCATTTTCCCCAAAAAGTCAAAAATCAACCCCGAGACAGCTAAGTCAAAGCTCGAGGTTCGGACCAAAACCTGATTACCATTCACCCACGAGCCCGAATATGTAATTAGTTTCGAAATCCAACCCCAAAATGAGGTCTAAATTCCAATTATTCAAAAAGCCCTAACTCTACCCAAATTCTTAATTTCTACCATAAAAACCCTAGATTTTGGATGAAGATTGATGAAATGCAAAAGGAAATCGAAAGAAAAAGGTTTAGAATCATATACCAACACTTTGGGGAAGAACTTGCCCCTTGAAAATCGCCTTAATGCTCTCTAGTTTGGAAAATATGAAGTTGTGGGCTAAATTCCCGTTTTTGCTACTGTTTTAAGAACACTGGGCAGGCCTTCTTCGCGTTCGCGAAGGGCCTGCCGCGTTCGCGAAGGGTCACCTTCCTCAGGCTTACGCGATCGCGAGTTCTTCCATGCATTCGCAAAGGGTATCCTCCTGACCTTCCAGTTCGCGGACCAAGGTACGCGTTCCCGTAGAAGAAATGATGAATCCCCAGCCCACCCCTATTTACTATACGCGTTCGCGGAAATAGGTCGTGTTCGCGTAGAGCAGCCCCCCTAGTGCTCCGCGTTCGCGACCCTGTCATTGTGTTTGCATAGAACAAATCCACCCTCAGCCTAGTTTCCTTTTTGTGATCGCGATATTGACTACGCGATCGCGAAGCATGGTGCATCAGACACCAGATACAGCAAAAACCTGCAATGTTTTCTAAACTCACCCGAGCCCTCGGGGCTCCAAACCAATCATGCACACAACCCTAAAAACATCATACTAACTGGTTCGTGCGATCAAATCACCAAAATAACACCTAGAACTACAAGTTTAGCATCAAAATCAAAGAAAACTCTCAAGAACTCTTAAGTTTCAAATTTCACAACCGAGGGTCCGATTCACGTCATATGAATTTTATTTCTAACCAAATTTTACAGGCATAACTGAAATACCATATAAGACCTATACCGGGCTCTGGAACCAAAATATGGGCCCGATACCATCAAATTCTAACATCTTTAAATTTTAAAAAACTTTTATAATTTTAGTTAAACAATTTTCTTCAAAAATTTATTTCTCGGGCTTGGGACCTCGGAATTCAATTCCAGGCATATCCCCGAGTCCCATATTTTTCTAGGGACCCTCCGGGACCGCCAAATCATGGGTCTGGATCCATTTACCCAAAATATTGATCGAAGCCAACTTAAATTCAATTTTAATGGCACAATTAGTATTTTTATCAAATTTTCACATAAAAGTGTTTCGGATCTACGCTCGGACTGCACACACAAATCTAGGTGAGATAAAATGAGGTTTTTAAGGCCTCGGAATACAGAATTGACTTGTAAATCAAGTGATGACCCAAAGGGTCATCACAGTCAAATGTTCCCATTCAATCACAGAACTAGCACAACTCATGTGGATCATTGATCAAAATTATCAACGGTCCATAATTAACTGTAATATCTTCTTAATTTTTAACCTCACAACATTTTATCTCCAATAATCCAACGACAACTCCCATTGATCAAAGAGATCCAACGGCTCCTGTCACTCCCCAAACTCGGAAAGCGCGACTGGCGCTCAATCGAGTGAACCCGGCCAAGCAAGCCTATTAGATTCTTTCTACCCAAACTCACTCATAAATAAAGGGAAGACGTATTCTCATTAACTAAGAAATACGGAGATCAAGTATACAGTACCGAATCATTTTCATTAGTTACTTCATTTAGAAGTCTCAAAATACACACATTTTTCATAGTTTGAAGAGGGATAAATGATTCAAACACAACAATATTTCGTCTGACTTTTCCAGCACCCATATACAACCGACACTATGTCTACGGAGCCTCTAAAAGATACAAAAGAGTACTAAAAAGTGTCGCAATAAGGCCCTAGCTATACCTCAAGTACAATATACAAGGAACAAAGATGCATGACCCCGAAATGAAATGAGGCTCATCACGACTACTGGGAGGAGGATGTACCGCAATCAGTGATCAATGTTACATGCTGTGGAACAACCTGCATTCATTTAAAGATGCATCCCCCTCAGCAAAAGAGACATTAGTACATCGAATAGTACTAGTATGTATAACTAAACACCATCTCAATAGAATGAACAATAATACAAGAAGTAAAAATCATGAACTCAAATAGAAGCCTCAACAATACCTAAACATCAAGTTAAGAATCACATAAGCTTTCAAGTAAGTTTCCATGATTTTAGGTTGGGAGATCTTTAGTACCGATACACCATCATCCTTAATACCACCACATTGTTACACGGAGTCCGATCACGACGCAATCGGCTAGGTCGTCTCATTTGAGATATCAACCATAATCACAATTTCAATTATAATTTCCAGCATAGTCACCACCATGTGTGCGGCATAGCATCCGATCACGGCCCGATCGGCTATGATGTCTCGCCCGAGACATTACCATTTTCCATCAATCACCTCATTTCATATTCTTTCACATCTTTCAATTCATCGGCACTAGTGGCCACAATTGTTATATCATATTTAGCACTTGGTTGTGTTTCACATTTCAAGTTCCTTTCCATATTCAAACATTATTATCATCATCCACAACAACAAGGGTTTTCATTCAAGACTTTGATTACATAAGTGAGCAATTTAGAATCTAAGGCACATAGAGGCTTTTCACACAATTTAGCATAACAATCTTTATTCGAATTTGACTTCAAGTCTAGGAATATTTAGCATATATTCCATATTTTGAACACATCCTCAAATGATCAGATAACATGATGAAACCATTGGAATACATATTGCCCATATATTTTTCAACAAAAGCACATTCGGAGTAGCAATTTCTATAACGATTAATTTGAGACTTACACTGATTGCATGAATACCATGTGATTAAATTCTAAGAAGAGGGGGTTTAGCCAACATATCTCGATTGAGCTTCCTTTAAACTTTAAAACGTTCCGGAATTCTTATCAACTTCGATCCATTTTAGAAATATAACAAGTTGGACCAAAATTAGTAAGATGATCATGATTTTAGCTCAATTGATCACATCATCAAACACAGGTGTGCATTAATATTTTTAAGGCCCTTTCCTGGAAGATTCCATCATTTCTTAACCAATTCTCTACCGTCTTTAGCTCACAATCTTCCCACATTCTTTTATAACACATGCATGCAAGATAACAGCCCCCAACACCCAAGAATTGTCTTTCAAATTATTCCCCTTTTAGTAGAATTTCGAAATTAAGAGCTAGGAAATAGATTCTTACCTTTAAGATGATGAATTTTCTTGTTAATCTTCAAGGACTGAGCAAGAATTATTGGTTAATAGGTCGAAGGTTACTCCCCTACTCTAAGAACTCTCTCTCACTCTAAAAGTATCATAAATATGCTAAAAATGGACTATCGCATACATTTTAATGAAATAGGGTCGGATTTAAAAATTAGTAAAATAGGAGCATCGACACAGATCTGCGGTCGCATATGCGACCGCATAATGCTTCTGCGGTCTGCAAAGTGTGCCGCATAATTGGCCCTCTGGAACTAACATTTTCTGCTTCAGTTTACGACCAGTTGTAGTCTGCAGACCTATTTTGCGGTTGCATAATGCGCTGCAGAACCTCCATCTGAAAAATTTCAAGGTTGGGTATGAGATCATAGTGCGGCCCGCGAAAATCTTCTACGGTATCATAATGGGCCGTAAAATGACATCAAAAAGGACCAAAAGACTGCCTTACTCTGTGGCCATTCTACGGCCCACATAGTGATTATGCGGCCGCATAATGAGCCGCATAAACGCCCAACTCTACAAATGTATTCCTTCAACTCCCTAGCGCACTGTTCAATCAAAAGAGTCCAAACATTCTACTATTATTAGCACCTATGCCTATCCCGGCACCATGAAACCTCAGCTTTTAGGAAAGATTTTATGGGGCATTTCATCCCATCCCATCTCTCTATTTAATTAACTAACCCCTTCCCAAACCCTAATCATTTCTTTGGAGAATTGCCACCCTTTTTTCCTCTTCCTCTCTCTTTTCTCTCTTTTCCACAAACCCCATCAATCCCTGAAACCTTGCAGTAATCTGTGCAAGGTCACTAAAATCAACCAAAACTTCACCATGTTCCTCTATCAATCGCTAATATCATCGATCTTACCCTTTTCATCATCCAATTTGAATCTCAAACCCACAAACCCTATATCTAAACGTGAAAGAGTAAGAATAAAATTATTTTCTCCTCCGCTCATTTAAAATTGGTCGCATGCAGCTGTGTATTCACAAAAATCTCAACTATATCTTGATAATCGATGGTCCAAATGTCAAATATAGTGACCTCTGGACATAGGATTTGACTGATGGTCCTTTGG